AGACCATTAAGCACACACTGAAAGCCAAGCTTGGTGCTGCTAACGGCTATTGGGTCGATGGCCTCTCAGAAGTTCTATGGGCATATAGAATGACTCCGAGAACCTCTACTTCAAAAATGCCCTTCTCGCTAGCATATGGCTATGAGGCTATGATTCTAGTGGAAGTGGGGACTAGTTCACTCTGGAGAGACCTATTCAATGAAACAGACAATGACGCACTTCTATGTGCAAGTCTAGACCTAGTTGAAAAATACCACGACAAGGCTCGGTTAAGGATAGCATCCTACCAACAGCAAGCAAAAAGGTTCTTCGACTCTAAGGATAGGAGAAGAGACTTTTAGGTTAGTGACCTGGTTCTAAAAGAAGTCATTCTCGGTACAAGTGAACCAAGTGCGGGGATATTGAGACATAATTGGGAGGGTCCATACCGCATCACTAAGGTAATACGACCTGGAATGTATCACCTCAACATGCTTAATGGTTTCGAAGTACTGCGAGCTTGGAATGCGAATATTTTCGCCCCTATTATCAGTTATTCCGAACCTGCTCTTAATTTTGTTCATTTCTTTTGCTTGAAAAGTTTCCTTTCAAATCTTTATGAATAAGATCGTTCTGCTTTATCTTGAAGGAATATTTGTTCATGCTCTTTTGAATGATCTTGTTCGTTACAATATTTTACAAGTTTCCTAATCAGATGTATAATGTTAGTCTTGTAAAAAGCTCGAATCATAGAAGTACTATCACAAATGGTCAAAAACATTTCTTATATATATATGTGTCAAGACCAATACAATGGGCAGCAGAAGTTTTTTTTTTTTTTCACAAAAAAAAAAAAAAAAAAAAAAAAAAAAAAAAAAAAAAAAAAAAGAGGGAAATTCATAAAGAAAGCTGTGAAAAACAGAAGAGGCAATCACTGGTCCCCGCCTCCAGGCTCTCTGGGCACGACCTATATATTCGCTGGTTGGTCGTCGACAGCCAGATCAGTTGTTGGGTCCTCAAGGACGTATGCCTTTGGTTGGTCATCCTCATGAGGTGGCTCTTACCCCTTTTCCTCCTCGACATCATCAGTTTGGGCCATGGAAGCAAGGATGTCATGGTATTCATGCGGGAGGTCGGAGAGGTCCATCCCCAATTCCCCGGTCGTAGGATGTAGATGGCCTGTATTGCCCAGTTAGCAGCTTTCCTCTTGAGTTCAAGGTTTTGCCACTTCATATACTCAGTTAATAAAGCAACTCACCCTTGAAATAGCTCGAGATCCACCTCCAGAGCCCTTTCTACTTCTTAGAGTTTTCCCACAATCGGGCTCTGTCCCTCTCTGCCTTCCTGGCGCTCTCAGAGTTTTCCTTCAGCTCATTTTCTTTCTGGTCACACTCTTTGGTAGTCTGGCCACTGTCTTTTAGAGTTCCTTATTCTCCTCGCCTCTCTTCTCAAGCTCAGCCTTTTGGAAATCCACTGTGCGAAGGGCAGAATTTCTCTCTACCAAGTACTGATTTGCCTGAATATGGACCGCTTTTGCCTCTGCGTCCAGAGCCACGAAGTCATGTTTCAGCTTGGTATTCTCTTCCCTCAGCTCGTGAAATCCTCCAGTAGAGTCCATATCGATCTTTTGTTGGGTCATGTGTAAGGCGAGCAGGGATTGCATGAGGAAATAAGCAAGAGTTAGCCCCTCGAAAATCACAAAAGTTAGAAAATCAACTGATACTAAAAAGTCCTCGACAAGAAAAAACTGTTTTACCCGGCTTTGTAACTAAAGTACGGTAGCCACCAGGTCCGCGAACTGAGAAGCCACGAATCCTCAAAGGCCGCAACCAGTTGGCATTCCAGTAAGGTATATACCACCGACTACAGATGCTCCGGTAGCTACCCCATGGAATCTAGCACAGGCAGGGTAGGTCCCGAAGGAACAGGCGTCTCATCGACCCGTTGCTTGCCCACTCTCCTTTGGGCAACTATGACCTCCCCCTCTCCTCCATGTGAGCTCTTGGGGACCGTCGAAGTGCCAAGGACACTCCTCTAGGGCAACCCTAAGCGAAAAGCCTGGTAAGGCTGCAACCCCTCCCGATAGCATCCCGAAGCCCTCCAGCTCGAACTCAGATTCCTCCTTGGTAAGTAGTTGCTTCCTCTTCTTGGTCTTTTGGCCCATGGTTTTCTACTTTGCAGCTCAGGTGGTTGCGGACCGAGGAGCCTCTCCACATCGCTCCGTGAGTGTTCACCTTTTGGCACCAATCTGTATCCCTCCTACAGGGATATCGCCAAAGGTCACCTCGACTAGCTCAATCGAATCGACCCGGGGAAATACAAACCCCCTAGTCCTCGTCGATGACTTTGGAACCCTAGGTGGTTTGGTCATTGCATGCCATGAAAATATGTTAGTGAAAAGGTCACCTCTCTTTAAAAAAAAAAAAATAAATAATAATAATAATAATAATAATATTTCCTAAGTGTGAAGATACTTACGGGCTAGGGGTTCCAAAGATGCTTTTGGATTGAAAAAATTGTACTTTCGTAAGTTAGCAGTAGTCACAAGCAGCCTCACGTCGCGATTCTGCTCGGGTAGACGATTGAATGTCACAATTTGATTAAAGTCTGTCAGAGCCGTCAACCTGGTCGTCTTATTTTTTGAAAAGAGATAAAAAGTTCGTTAATTTCACCTATAGACGAGGAGCTGAAGAAAAATGGACAGTTCGCAAACCGAAGGAAAGGAAAACCTACTCGGCCCCCTAAATTGGCAAACATCATCGTATTCAAAAAAGAAAACTTTGGTCTCATAAGCCCCAACATTACTGGGGTAGCTAAATATTCCTCCATCAATCAAGGATCACTTAAAGAGGTAGTAAGAGTCTTTGTCTTTGCTCTTCTTCAAATAGTAAGCACAAGTGATCTTCAACGCTATCAGCTCGCCAAGACCATTTTCGCCACATGTGATATACATAGCAACCTCTATCATATATGCATTGGGCATCAATTGCAATGGCACAACCTCAAAGTGGTCGAGGATTGACCTAATAAAAGGGTGAAAAGGTATCAACGCCCCACATTTGTAGATAGCCTCGGAGATCACGGTCATTTCCTCAAGGGGATTCCAAGTTATGTATGTCCTATGCTGGTAGATATCTACGCTAAGCGCGAACTGGTCTACCGCTCTTTGTATCTCGTCCCAGGTGGCTATCATAATGTCTCTTGCACGAGACCTGCTGAGGTGCTCGGTGCCTGCGAGCTCATCCCCTCAGCTGCTCTGGTCACTGAAGTGTCCATTGCTCCTAAAGTCTAAAAAAGGGACGACATGTAGAGATGACTCAGTCTTCGTACAGTATTCCGTACGATGACGTGGAAGAGCAAAAGAAACCCTAATTTACCTTTCTTAACCCCTAGAAAAACCCTAAAAACCCTTAGGAATGAGTTCCCAAAAATCCATGCCCCAGGTTCTTACTTTTTATAAAGAAAAAATTCTCTTTTTACCACTGTCCAGAAACATGCATCATGTAAACTTACCAGGCAATTCATATCCACCATTACCATAAAGTCAAGCTTTTAACAGAAAATAATAGAGGAAAACGAAGGAGAAGTCTTCCTTACCTCTTAACTGTTGGGGACGAACTTCCTATCGTAACGAAGAGTGCACATTAACTGGAAGAAGAACAGACTTATTTCGCAAGTGCAAGAGTTTTGCTTTTTCTCTCTGAAAATATGAGTTATGTGATAAAACTTGAGGCGAACCTGGGGTTTTATAGGGGGAAAGACGATAATTGGTTTCCTTAGCAAGCGACACTTGGGCGGGAAACGTTTCTCGCCATTGATTATGATCACGTGTCGTTAATCCACATGAAGAGTAACCTTCGTGGATGCCAGTCGACGTTTCCCTCCATTGGAATAACCAAGCGTCAACGCGGTTACCTCTTTCACATTAAATGCGCTCTCATTCGCATTCAATGCTCTAAAAGGGACTATTATTTCAGCATGGCTTACATTTAATGTGCATGGTTGGCACTTATTGTGCAAGAGACTCATCTGTCAGAATAAAATTTATTTTATTAACCAGACCAGCTATCAAGCAGAACGGATAACATCTAAAGAGGTTGTTCGAGTAAAACACTCTTTGCCATGTATCGATTTCGAGACGATGTGATCCCTTGTTTTCGGTAAAAATGTGCTAAGTATTTTCAGGTCGTGAACGGCGGATGAAATTCAAAGCATGTTTGTATAGCACTGAGTAGGGTCCGACCTAGGCCTCTGAACCTGCGGGAGTAGGTTGCCTCAAATCGCTTGTGCTATTCTTAAAGACCTATGTTGCGACCTCCTTACAGCTCGATCAGACGTCACTCAGGATAAGTCAAGTCACGACATAATCATGAAGTTCTCAAGGTTCAATCTTTAAACCTTAAAAACTGGGGGGCTTCTGTTATCCCTAAAAAATAAGGGCTGATATAAGCGCACACTAGCACAGGCCAATTAGAGTTTAGGAAGGCTTTGTATCGTCCAGACACTGCGACGTTGCGCAAGGACGAAAGAGGTAAGACTGTAGTCAGTGTGGCAGGTGAAAGGCTGGCTTGTGAGTAGCTAGGAATTGACCACCTGCCCTAGCCCTGCGCGATTTAAGGATATCTCATGTGCAGACAACCAATGGGAAGCAGGTTAGGAATTGTACTACACCTACCTGATTGTAGAATCATGATTACTACCTTGAATCCCTCGACTATAAATAGAGGGCTCCTCTCTCATTTACGAGATTGACTCATTCTTTAGTTTCTTAAAAAGCAGACTCTCTCCCTTTGTATTTAAGTTTTCTGTAGACTGTAACTTGGCTCGCTGTACGTGACCTGATTGTAATCATCCATTAATACATATATAGTGGACATAGGATTCGCTTTTGAGCATCCGAACTACTTTAAAAATCGTCTCTTGTCTTTTCTCTCGTTGCACAATTCCATATCACGTGTAATTTCTAAGTCCACTTAGCACTTTACACGTGCAAGTCGTTGGTGTCGAAATCAAGCATCAACACCCTTCAACAAGTCCTCGTCTCTGTACTCATACTTGACGCCTTTCTCCGCTAATGCAATTCTCACCCTCATGCGAAACATACTCGGCCAGAAATCCAACAGAATCACCTCCTCCCCCATTTTTGGAGAAATTCTTAAGTTGAAGATGATTAGAGATTGAAGAAATGAAAAAATTTCTTCTGTATTTAAGACGAGTGTGTGTAACTGGCCGGCCAATAAGTCAACTCATAAGACAATTTTTGGATAAAAAATTCTAATTACTTATTCATGAATCATGAATCTTGAAAATTGAAATTCTAAAAGTTTTGATTAATGAATCATGTATATATATAAACATTCATGAAATATTATATATGGATCCATCTTGAAACTTGTGATTTTAAGTAAATTTATATTTAAGAATCTGTATTTTCGAGAGTTGTTTAAAGGAGTAGATAGTGGGTTTGATTATATAGTTTGTGATTTGTTTTTTATTTGGTTTAGTTGTTTATCAGATTTCTTTAAAAGGATTTGTTGACAGAACTTGAATAATTTTTCCTTGGAGAATATATTCCAGACAACGTGCTGATGTAATACACTCCTTCTACCTAAAACCATTTTTATATTTTGACAATTATGTCAGCTTTGTATTGGAGCTCTTGGTAAGATTCGTTAAGACCAAATTTAAATATCAAACCAATAAAATTGAGTTTCGTGTTTAAAATTGTTGTTATTTTTCCTTTCATAAAATAAATGAATTTTTTTTTTTGTTTTTTTTTTTGGTGACAAGGGTGTTTAGGCCAGCCTGGATTTTTTGATGATCAAGGATGTTCAGGTCAGTTTGGAGGTATCCGGACTAGCTTGTGTATACCTCAAATAATTCCTCGGAATCCTGAAGTGAATAACCGGATAAATCTCCTCAGTGGTCAACCCTACTATAGCTTAGGGAGAGTCAAACCCAAGAACCCATATTGAATCCCTTTGCATTTTTACCATCAAATCACCTAGTAGTGGATAAAATAAATAATCTTGACGACCTATTTGTTTGTTTCTTTTTTTATTTACTATTAAAGCTTTTCTTTTACTTCTAAGTTTTTCATAGTATTTTTTCTTTAAGGAAAAAAATTACTCTTTTTTCTTTTAGAACTCCTAAAAATATGTAAGATTTTGTTTCCCCTTTTTTATTTTTTTAATTCTTTTAAAACAGGTTAAATAAGAAAAAAGTTGTTGTCAGGGAGCACTAATTAGCTTAGAACAAGCATAAGATCACAAACAAACAAGAGAAATTTGGATTGCGTTTGGTACACCTTTCTCACCCTATCCTATTCTATTTTTTTTCCTTAAAAAAATAATAAATGTGTTTGTTTTAATATTCATCAAAATCCAATCATATTCTATTCAATTCAAAACATTTAACAATTACCTTTCATAATAAACGTTTATAAATTAACAAAAAAACACCCCCACCAACCCAAGCCACTATCAACCGCCAACAGCTGTTGTTGCCACCTTGGCCAAAACGACGCACGACCGGCTAGATATGGTCGGTCGTACGCCGATCTTACCTTTTTCAGTCAAATCCACCGTGGATCTGACTGAAAACGACTAAAGATCTAATAGTTGACGACAACCAAATTCTGGCCATAGATCTAGCCTTCTCCCACTAAATCCATGATGAATCTAGCCGAAAAAGGCAAGATCAACGCACGATCGGTCAGATCTAGCCGATTGTGCACAGTTTCGACGACTGATGGCCACCATCCGGTGGTGGTGGCCGACTGTCGAAAATCGATTGAATGGATGAGAGTGTTTTTGTTAATTTATAAACTTTTATTAATGGGGGATATTTAGCTAAACTAACAAATGTAAGGGGTTAAAAAGTAATCAAAATATTTTTAGAAAATGTTTTCCAATAATGTACCAAACACATTCTCATAATCTTATCCTAAAATGTATTCACAATAAGATTTTACAAATGCTATTCAAAAAAGTGTATTCAGAATATTTGTCAAAAATAAAAAATATAAAAATTTCTATGAGGTTTGAAAATGATAAGTGTCCCCCAGAAATTCCTTCCCTAATTTGCAAAGCAGAAGTGTTTGTCCGCAACCAGACCAAAAGTCTGGGAAAGAATTTAACACTCACTGATAGACAACTCTGCCAGACTGAACTAAGCAACGTATGCAAAACACTGTCACATTTCCTGTAAACTCTTCACCTATAAAATCAAAACTGCTCCCAAAATGACACAAGAAATTACTGGTATGAGCATAGAATGTGTATCCCAAATCTCCCTCTACTTCAATGGATTTCACTGTTCAAGCTCAAGTCATAAATTCAAACCCGGTAACAAATGAATATCCAGAGAAGTTGCCTCGACTTTAATTTCCTTTAATCACATATACCATCTGTCTATCACCCAACAATTAACTCTGATAATCAGAGCATGCGACATGAAAGTTAATACAATCTATACAATAGCACGAAAGAGGTTAAAACCAAACAAAAGTACATAAACTAACTGTCTTTTGTTATAGTTCATTTATGCTGAATATAACAAGGCTCATTGGCTCATGGAGAAAGCAAAATCCAAGCCAAATTCAACACTACATGCAGCATTATACAACTAACCATATCTCCAAGGAAAGATATAGTAACACAATTGTACTTATCATTTTGCTCATGTCCTTGTGCTGTTCCTCTACTCCAAGCCAAATTTCTTCCTCAACTCTAAGCAAAATCCGAACACTTTCTTCTCATCAGGAAGTGTCTTAGAAATGCTCTCTATCTGCATGCATCTCTTAGCCCAAGCAATGATTTTGGGGCACTCTGCCTCTACGCTAAACTTGCCCATGGTTTCATATGTGTAAAACCAACAATAATACGGGATCAAACATACATGCACATACCCTAGGGTCTCCCCCCCAAAGTATGGTTTGTCTCCAAGCTGCTCTTCCAGCAGCTTAATAATTTCAATGAATTCCTTCTTTGCTGCCTCCTGCTGTTCTCCTGATGTGTACCATGTCCTCCTCCCAGCATCAAATACCTACAATTGTGTTATTATTAATTTCCATATTAGTTCATTACCTGTGAGATTTAACTCAACTAATCAGACAAAAAACTTCCAATAAGTCCAAATAAATATATGACAATTTAATAACTAGAAAAGTTTTAAGTATTGCAAAATTTGTGGAGTCTGCCACCATTTCATCCAAGAGAATTGAAATTTCCCCAAATCTCCTCCAAAAAATGACTGCATTTCTAGGAAAGCTACCAAATCAGCAGTAGGTGGGCTAATGCAAGATGCCAGATGCTGCCTTAACTTCGACATAGTATGACATATCTTTCCTCTTCAGTTAAAAGGGCAAAAATAGAATTGAAATTGCAAAAAGAAGACCACTATTCCTATTCCAATCATATCAACCAAACAAACAAGTTTGTTCTGTAAAATATACATTAGTTATCCAGATCTATATCAATCAGCCACTCGAAGAGTTATATTCAGAAGGCCTCAAATTTGGGTAGTTACAAGCACATTATCCTGGTTTTGAAGTTGTCAAAATCTTCAATAAAATATGAAAATCATCAAATATATAGCCTTGAAAACTCATCACAATCCTCACATAGAACTTCAACAACTATTAAGAACCATCCACAGAGGACAAAAAACTAAACCAATGGAATCTATTGCATTCTAGCCAAACCATATTGATATTATATCAATGAAGTTGTTTCTATTCAGAATTGAACTTACAATGACCTGGACTTATACACAGAGACCTTGATGCATACACATATATGATTGTCCTAAGGATAAATAAGCATAATGCTATAAAATCACAACCAAATCACAAAAATAAAAAAAATAAAAAAAAATAATAATAATAATTGTCAACTTCCAGTAACACAGCCCAACAAGCCAAAAGCAATTTCTGTACAAAATAGTCAACTTCGGTTTAGAACCTAAAGAATATACTCCCATAAACGCACTTCAATTCCATTCATTAAAGCAAAATTAACTTACCTTCTTGTCAATATAATCAACCCAGAAGCTAGCTTAAGCTCTCTGGTAAGGATCAGAGGGAAGTAAAGAAGCTTTATCCTTCCACACCTCATCAATGTACTGCACAATGATGGATGACTCACAAATGGGTTTGCCATTGTGAATGAGAACTGGGATCTTTTTATAAACTGGGTTCATCTGCAGAAGCAAATCACTCTTGTTCCTCAAATCCTCTTCTTTCAACTCATACTTGATTCCTTTCTCCGCCAATGCAACCCTGACCCTTATTCCAAACATGCTGGGCCAAAAATCCAACAAAATCACCTCATCTGCCATGTTTTGATCAACTTATTTACATCATTTCTACCACATTTCATTGCATATATATTCACATTTAGAATAACAATCATATCAATAATCAAGAAAGACCAAATTTTAATTACATTACATGAAATTTAAAGGCGAAATCAAATAGTTAGATACTAGTTTAGCACTAAGCATACCAGTTTTAACTGCACTGGAGTTGACAGAATGCTGATCGCTTTCATTAAAATTCTTAGACATGCTTGTTGCATTGAATTTGGAGGAAGAGCTGAAATTACACTTCAATGTCTTGGAATTTTGTGTCTTCAGTTGACCGGGAAACCCGTTGAATCCCCACAACTCACTTCTAATACCCGTTAACCGGCAGCTGTTAACCGGAAAAGTTTGAGCTCTGGGTTGTTTCGAACGAACCGCCGCCGCTGACGGCGGGCAGATAATAGATCCATTAAGTGAACCCATCTTCTTCCTCAACTCATTGAGGTTGAAGTCCTAGCAAAAATGTACATATAATAAGAAAATAAAATATTAGAGAGAAAATTAATTGGGGAAATCAATTAAATAACTTTTAATCTTATATTATTCTTAATAAATATTCAGAAAAAATATAGTCAAAATTAATCAAAAGTGTGAAAATTTTAAAAAATGCATTACCCATCTACATAAATAATTAGAAATAGCAAATTTTAAAGGATTTGGCCAAACTAGGGATAGATAAAAATACATCCAATGCAATGGATTAATCTATATTCCGAAGTTACAAATTTATTTTTAAATTCATACATTTATACTTCTTATCCTTGGACATCCATTTGTT